TAGTTGCAGCAAAGACGCTAAGTAAATGCAAACTATTTCTGGGTTGTTTTCCAAGAATGACAGGCTGGCAAACGACTCAACCCTAGTCCAGAGGCCAGAAGTTCGCGTGGTTCTCGACATGTTTACAGGTGATTATTGCAAAGACACCATAGATCTAACGATTAATGGAACGCTTTCTTGACTATGATGTTAAGTATGGGTGTTGCGCGGCGCAGACCCCATCGTCTTCCACTATCTTCCACTGCATGAGCCATCAGATGTGTGGGGAAAAAGCTTGCAGCACAAAGCAAGAAACCTGTGATTCATTGTGCCGCAATGCATATAGCCACTGGTCTGCTCTCAGACTCTCAGGCAAGCGCCGAAAACACGACGACCACGCTTCTTGCCAGCACTCTTGGGAGAACAGGCTGACAGAACCCCCGCCCACGCAGATGTCTTGTAGAGCCGCCTCATTGTGGGACAGTGCACGTGGGAGATGTCCGGGGTCTGCTCCAATTCACCTAGGTTGACGACAACCTCCAGCACGACGCTTTTCACTACAACCACCACCTCTGTGGTCGCTAGGGTGAAGCTTACGGTTCATCATAGGTCCGTGCATACTTGTAATGTGTTGCTGGTGACACACAGTCAATGAGCCCCTCGAGAATTGTAATAGTGAGTTTCGGCCAACAAGTTCGCCAAAAAGTTCCCCAATTGGTCCACTACGCTAGGCAAGAGGCTAGAAACACTAGCGAGCCCGAGTCCAGTTTAAAGAAGGTCTGGAGGGGCCAGCTTTAGGGCTTAGACTGCTCAAGAGTGACCTGAGGTATCATCCTCCTCCACAACGTCCACAACCGAATCTTTCATCGGCATCCCGCCTTATGAGGTGCCGTGTGCACCCCAAGGAAGTGCGAAGCAAGGTGAAAAGGTGAGCTGGTCCGAAGCAGCTCCGCGTCGCTATGGGCTTTGTGGCCAAGCATGCTCTTACAGCTTCATTGTGAATGCCGGATACTGTCGAGGTTTCACAACAAGCTTGTTCAAGTGCATGTTCAGTCGCCGGCTCTGCACGGATGCGCTACGCTTAGGTAACAGTAGCACAGTTACATCATCCACAAGCTCCACGACATGGTCCCTGGGCAGATTGCGCACAACCCGCTTCGCTGACGCATGCGCTCAGAGCGTCATTTGGGGCATGTGCTTGTTTGTGCTTCCGGTCATGCAGCCGTGGCACTTGTCCATCGAGACTGAGGACGACATCTACTTCTCGGACAGTGACATCCTCCGCGGCCTTGCAGTCAATAGTCGTATCAATAAAATTAAAGGCACCATGCCACCAACACGTGACGACCGCAAGAAGTCTCCGAAATCAAAGCACAATTGCCACAAGCTGATGAAGGAACGGCGCTGATCCCACTAACCTGGTACAGTATGCCGCAGCCGAGGTAACCTCCACAGCATCCTCCACAGGTGCCCTTCGTTTTTGGCAGCTGGCTAGATTGTCAGGTAACTTTGTCAATGAGACCAAAAGCTCTGCGCAGGCACCACCACCCAAACGACAAGCACATTGTCTTCAGCAACTTGCATGAACCAGCGACAGGCTAAGCCAGGCAGTCAGGGTTACACGGCGAACTGTCTCCGTAGCCCGACTCTTCGCAAGTGATTAGGTTTAGCATCACTTTCTGCATGCTGCGCTTCGTAGAAAGCTGTTTCAAGCAGATGTTCAAAATATCCGATTTGTTGTTCCAAAGTAACGCCATATTGCCTCCAGAAGTTGGAAGTTTCTTCACACTGGCTATCCCAGCACTCCGTCTTCCTTCAGAAGGTTGTAGGCGCAAATGTACTCACGGTTCTCATGGGCGGTGGTTTTGTAGGATTTCTCGGGGATGCTTATGTAGGACTGTAGGAATGTGCGGAGAATGAGAACAAGATGAGGCATCTTCGAAGTATTTTCTGTGTCTACCTTCTATGTATGGACGCACGGCCGGGAGCTTCTACAGGCCTTTGAGCTTCGAGCTTGCTCGAGATTCTTAACAAGAGAAACTTCAATCTCTGTGGCCGCATGTTTCTTACTGATCTTAGACGGCCTAGGTGACGTACACAACTACTTCGTCAACGTCGCAAACGCGATCTCTGACAACGCGCCATGTCCGACCGAGGAGGGTTGTCCAGGTTCGTTAGATTCTGATCGGGATGGTAGTTTGGATGGTCGTGTGTCTTGACCAAGTGGTCACCCAGCCATTTCTATGTCTGGACGCTGGGCGCATTGTGCCAGCCTCTTGCTGGGCGATGACTCATTGTCTTGGCCTGGCGAGCATCTGGCTGAGGACTGGCACATCAGCGTCTACGACACAAACCTTTACTCGACCAGTGGTGGCTGTTGGACAGAACTGGAATTTGGTTTTGGGGATTGTGGGGGCTGTCACTTTCAGAAGCTGCCGGGACATGCCGGGTCCATCATCACCCCCCCCCAGCCTGTTTAACGTTAGCAGTTGCTTGCTGATGCAGATTGCAAAGCTACGTGCTCGGCGGCTATAGCCCTGATTCAAGCATCTCTGTCTGGCGCACCAAGAATGCGAGCACTTGGTCGCTCTCGCTGCCGATCTGCGACCCAGCCATTCTCCGCGCCGTGAAGAATGTCGCTCGAAGCCATTGCTAGCTCAGCAATCAGCAAACGGTTCCTCTGATCTCATGGGGGGGGAAGAAGCTTCGTAGCAAGGACTCGGGAAGTGATGAAGCGTGCTCAACGCCTCCCAAACCTTTGCTCTAACCTGGGGGCCTGGGGGCTTTCAAGGCCCGAGCTGTCGACTGAGGGGCACGACTACTCCGCATTCACATGCGCTTTTTTCGTGGAGATCAGTAACTTAGCCATTGATCACCCCGTTGCTCTCTGGATCTTCTAGGCTTCGGGTCATTTCAGATCATGACTACGACACGAAGACATTGACGTTTTTAGCCTCATCTCTGTCACAAGCCGAGGATTTGTTCGCGGAGGTCACGCGCTACGTGACTGCCCCAGCCGCAGAGCCATCTTGAACTCCCCACATGTAGTCAGATGCCACCACGCTGAGCTCTAGAGTCTAGACTCTAGAGTCTTGCCATACTCAAGTCGCATCTCCAGAGAAGCATTAGACGCACGACAGAACCAAAACAAAAGAAGCAGCATCAAAGCGAGCATGGTGTCTGGTATGCAAGAGAACACCCTCGCACATGGCGACATGTATTGCATTGCTTGTCTGCAACCTTTTTGTTTTTTGTCAAAGCAGCTTAAAGAGTTTCGGAACCCAAGCCCGCCGGCCTCATCTCAGATATGTGGACACCTGGCTGTCTTTCCAAGTTCTCTTCGCGCATACTGCTTTTGAGATCTTTGAGCATACCCTCTATGATGTCACTGTCAAGCTATACAAAGCATTCCAGAGAGTAGTGTCCTATCAAGTTGTGCCTGAAGCTTGGTGCCGCGAAGTGGCGACTCTCGCACTGCAGTCATAGGCACTGTGGTGTGGGGGCGGGCTGGGCAGAAAGGGCAGCAGTCGAGTCCCTTGTGAAAAAAGCCCGCCGGCCCAACTGTGCCTCAGAGGCATCTATTGGTGCAGACTTAGACTGCAAGGATGAGCCTAGGCTGCAGCTGCCCTTGAGTGGAGCTTGAAGGTTCATTTCTGAAGGGCGTGTGGTAAGTTCAGAGGCTGTTCAGGACTTCTGAAGGCCGTGGGTTCATGTCGGCAAGGACGGGAGTTCTGGTGCCAGCCATGGTTGTGGAGTCTGGCAAAAGTCCTTGGAAATTCAAAGACACTGGCCAAGGCATGTCCGACTCACTTCTAAGGTCACAGGCGAGCTGCTGGTCTTCATGGCCTTGAAACGCTGTCCTGAGGACTTGGGGCACCAAAGTCAAATAGAGTGCATGTCAAGCGAGGCTGATCAGTAGCACCGTGCGATACGTGAGTTTCCGAAAATACGGGTATAGCAGACCACCCAAAATTGGATTCCGAATTTCCTTATAAGAAGGGCGAGAAGGACCCCAAGAAGGTACCCCTAAATTCTGAAACCCCAATAATATCGGTAGCGCGCCGGTAGCGACGTTGCTATGGTGAGGCTTTGCATAGAGTTGGTGCACGGCCCCCCGCTGCTTGTTTTGCCTTGCGTCGAGTCTTCGGTGTCACCTCTCCACAAGTTCCAAGGCGGGAGTGCGCAACGTGTCTTTCGAGATCAATAGATATGTTACACATATGCATACATTTATAGAGAGAGAGATGGACAGAGAGAGATGTCCACACGTATCTCCCAAGCATTCCCGGCTGCAAAAACCTCTAGAAACCTTGACCCTAGGAGACGCTGAACGCCTTGGCGCGGAACTTGGCGAACTCCCCTCTGTAGCATCATGTTGCCCCTACTCAGGAGGCAAACCGACTGCGAAGGTTTCTGGGTTGGGTATTTACGGGTGACTTCCCCGCCTTCAGACCCATGCCCTTCTTTGAGGTGCAAAGTCTGCCACCAACCTCGCCAAGCCTTTTTGCACAGAACAGCCACGGCTGCTGCAATTGGGTGTCCGCAAGGTCGTCGCGAGGGGGTGTTCGTCAGTTAGCTCATGTTGGACGTTGTGGGGACCCTGAAAGTCCAAACAGCCCAAGCCCCCCTGATCTCCAATGACAGTATGGTTTCGTACGATTTCCAGATTCGTCGGTTTTCAACTGCTCCTTCGATGATTGCATCAACGTGAAGGGTGTGCACGATTCTGGGTGTTGTGCGTCGAGCCAGGACCCCGCCCCAACGTAGCAAAAGTCATGTTTTGCTTCGCGGCCCATCAGTAGCAACAGGTCAGAGAAGATGCACAAGTTAAACTGGCCGTATGGTGTCACGCGGTATTTTCTTGGCCCACGTGAGGCCACATGCATGTCACCGGACCTTGTCGCTTGACCCAAGCACCAACTCACCCCCAACCCATTGCTGGCTGACGTTTGCAGACTGCAGGCAGGGACCCATATTCAGAAAATTAGGCGTAGGTGCTGTTTGTTTTCGTTGCAGCCGCCATGTGGGAGCTGCGCCCATTCTCTGCTGGATCTATGGGCAGTGTTGGTGACAATACGCCCCCGGGATCCAACAATGAGGCCGGGCCATTGGGACGTGGGAGTCGGAGGTGTAGTATAACGCTCACGGTGTCAGCTTTGTTCATCTTTCTCGAGCAGAAGCCGAAGAGCCTCCACTTGAACCTTGTAGGCTGAGCGACCGAAGTATTTCGTATGACATGTATGCATCGCCGGCCGTTAGGCCGCGTGTGTGCAGACAGCCTTTTTTCTCATCAACAAGTTGCACCGCTGTAAAGGGGCCAGCAAACCATGCTCAGAACAACTGTCAGCTGCTGTCAGCCTTTGTCAGCTTTGAACTACTGTTGTACCAAAACGAAGCAGCTGGGCTCGACCGCAGCAAGTGTGCCCCTGTGGCGCATAGTCGTGGGGCGAACAGCGCATGCACAACTCGACCCCTAGTGCGTCTTATGCACTCAGGCATTCAGGCGTTAAAAGTTTGCTAAGTTTTGCAAACAGTATAGGCCGAGGTCCATTCTAAGTCCTGCAGCTCCTGCATCCGGCGCCCTGTGCCAAGTAGTGGGAGGAGCCACCAGCCAACTCAGCTGGACCCGGCACGCGCGTGGAGCTCTCCGGCTTTAAAGAGATATAATCCGGGGACACAGAGGGGGCGGGCGAAGACGCCCGGGGGTTGCCCCCTTGGCCCACGAAAGAAAGACAGACAGAAAGAAATACAGAAGCCAAGACACAAAGAAAGAAAGAACAAAAACAAAGAAAGAAAGAGGGAGAGAGGAGAGAGAGGAGAGAGCGGAGAGAGCGGAGAGAGAGAATAGATGATCCCCTGAGGGAAACAAGTTATTCGGACATTCCTGGGCTAAGGGAAGTTCAAGAGCCTTCGTCTGGGTCTTCAAGAGTTCTCCTCTACAAGGGCAGCCTTGAGATCCCGGGCCCTTCAAAGCCGCAGAAACAACACGTGCTGTGCTACACTGCCACAAGCTGCTTAGGCCACATTCTTCATAGTTTAGCATGTGTCATATGTGTCATATGTGTCATGTGTGTCATGTGTGTCATATGTGTCATATGTGTCATGTGTGTCATGTGTGTCATGTGTGTCATATGTGTCATGCAACAGCTGAAGCTAAGGGCCATCAACAGGATGCTCAAATCGCGACGAGCCTGGGAGGCGAAACAAAAGCGGCGGGAATCCCGAGCTGCAGGCGCAAGCAATCCAGGAGTTCAGAGACGCTCAGGTCAGGTTCCTTGACAAAGGGTGCATGTCTCACATGTGAAGGTGCTGAAGCGAAGACCAGCATGACCAGCAACATCTCAGTTTCGGTCATCCAAGAGACTGACACCTGGCCCAGAGCGAGGGATTGCGGCTTTACTGGTCACGGTTCCCTTGGATTCCTTTAGGTCTTGTGTAGAGTCAGTGTAGAGGCCTTCCAAGACGTCGGAGGGAGCATTGCTCGCCCAGCGCCCGCGTGGCGGGGTTGGGCTTCAGCTCGGATTTCCTTCGCCCGCCTTAGCACACCCCATTCCCAAGGCAACCCAACACATCCTCTCGTAGAGCTGAAGCCCAACGGAACCCCTCATACGCCGAAAAACTCCACAAAGGACATGGACTGGAAAACCCGACAGCAGAAGCGAGAAGCCATCCAGGGAAGGCGCCTCAAACTTGAAGGGCTTCTGGATACGGGTTGGGCCCGGTTGGGCTGTCGGCTTGGCGTATCTTGTGGCAAAGCCTGGCACTGTGCACGAAGATTCCTCCCCAGCGAGATTCTTCCCCCAAAGCATGATGATGCTCTGAGTCTGGTGAGCGTAAATCTTTCGTCCGTAATTTCTCTGCGCGTGCTGACCCACGGACCAGCAAGTACTCGAAAACTTGCAGTGAACTGAAGATGCTTCATGAAACGACTCGTCAACCTGAAGCGAAGCAAGTCGACCATGCATGGAACCATTGAGAAGGCACAAATGTAATCCTATTTTGAGTCTGGCCAGGGCCTTCCGCGTGACTGCTGAGGGAAGCTTACTGTAGGATCTTAGTGAGGGAGAATCTGGGCTGTTGGGCTGTCCTTCACATTTGGGGGCCTGAATCCTTTCGGCGTTCAGGCATCAAAGATTGAAATCTTTGGATGCATATGTGCCATGACCATGATACATCAATGTCAACGACTGCCAGAGACTAGAAAAGTCACCAGACTGTATATCCCCGACCATTGCTGGGTTTCCTACACGTGATAAGTTCGCTCCTTTTTCCGCGTGAACAACGAGAAAAGCTTTGGCCACCCCTGCCCCATAAGACTCGAAACCTCCTCAAACGTCCACTTCCTTTGCAGGTTCTGGGCTCGCATCGACCGCTCCAAGTCCAAGGACACCATACCAGACGAGGAGCTGGGACTGATACGGGCTCTGCACGTTTTGTGGTGTTTTGAGTGAACTTAGAGCTGGCTTTTGGGTCATGCTAGAGTGACAGTGATGGGTTCAAGCACATCATGACTCTGCTTGTTGACAAGATAGGCCTGCCCAGAACCCACGTCTATGGGAGTCATCATGTTCAAAGCCACAAGACTCAACACAGTCTTCGATGCTGACTGTCAGGTTCGTTCACCATTTTCTAGCTGTTGCTTGCATTTACATGCTTAAGACACTGAAGGGGAAGGGACCCGGTTTTCGTGTCTAGACAATCTGAACACCAGGCTCCAATTGGGGGCCAGAACCACTCACAGCCAGCAATAAACCAAAAGCCCTAACATTGGGCAACCTTTTGTCAATGCATTATTCTCAGTTACCCAATTGTATGTGTGAAAGCAGTTTTTCAGGCTCTTGAGTATTCTCAAAGTTCAAACAAATGAATACGCCGGAGGGAAGGCTGCAAAGGCCGCAAGGCTCGATGTTCAGCGCAGCAGGGACTTCTTGCTCTGGGGGTTCAAGGCTATCATGGGTAAGGTTGTGCGTTGAGGATATCCAAGGCTAAAGCTAAACATCCTCCTTTCCCCGATGCAACACTGATTGCCAGGACTCGACGGTCTTTCCCAAGAGCTTGCCATCCAAGCACACGAACAAGACTAAAACTCGTTCTGGTGCAGGTTGGTGGTGCGTCACTTCTGTCCTGCGTCAGCAGCTACGTCGTCCCATAGATATGAACGCTCTCTTTTTCACTGCCAGGCCTTCAGGATCTTCTTTTCGATGATGAGAAGAATCTAATTAGCGATGCGGAGTCGGCAATCCACTCGGCACCTCGGATCTATTCCTATAGGAGTTTGCAGGAGGATTTGGGTTCCACGGAGCGAGATAGATCTGAAAACATGTGCCGCTGCAATCCCCAACCATGCCCAAGATCTTGGCAAAGGTCGCTCTTGAGGGAGGTACATCAATCCTGTGAAAATTCCCTGGTCACACATGGGCGTGCAGGATTCAGAGGAGGATGACCTCGACCTGGAAGCCGTGACCATCGAGAAGGCATTCAATGGCCAAGGAGTTCATTTCGATTGCCCCATAACTTGAAAACTGCACCTGACGTCCTCTTACGGCAGGTGAAGTGCCGCCGTGTTGGCACGTCCATGGGTCTCAGCCATTTCTTTGGGAGCACGTGCCTCTGGCAGCACATGGCTGGTATTGACTTGTATGATTGTGAAGCGACGAAGACATGCGTGCGCTCGTAACCGTATTAACCAGCGAGTTTGAGCCTGTTGACGTTGCACTCCTCGATTCGTTTGTATCAGTTCAAGAAACCCACCGATTCTTTTGCATCAGGACCCGCAACTCAGTCACGGGCCGAATTGTCATGAAGGAAGACAGGCCCGTGTTCCGATGAGTTTGGGGCTTTGGGGTTCAACTTCAGGTTGTTCAGCAGTTGGATCCTGGGGAAGGGGGTGCGGGGAAGGCTGTTTCATGTGGAGAATTGTGAGGATGTCGTTTGCCAGGTTTGCCGTTATAAGTCCCTCCACGCACAGCCGCAAACCTTGGCGAACGCAGTCCCAGGAACCCAGCTCTGTGCCTGAAGCCTCTTTGCATGCTGCCACTTTTTTAGGGTTTAGGGTAGGAGGTTCTTGGGTATGTGTTTGGCTTTGGTCTTAGCGACACGCCGCTGTTTGGGTTCATGAAGCTTGTACATTCTCTCATTGCGAACAACGATCGGAATATTCTAAGCAAGGTCGGCGATGACTGAAAACGAGACACACATCTCAGCGGGTGTCTTCTGCACCGCGCCAAGCCCTAGTCAGTGTCAGGTATTTGCCAGGCTTTCTCTTGGTGGATATCTTTGGTCGGCGCCGGCTCATCGGCAGCCCTCGTCAGCTCTGGGAGGAAGGGAGCTTCTTTTGATCACCCGAACTCCTTCGCGGGAAGTTGTTAGGGGGGGGGGGGGCTAAAAAGGGCTTACAGTGGCTTGTAGGCAACATTCCCCTCACCCCCCACCCCCCCCTCGCAGGATCACTACATCTTCAGGCCGTACGTCATGGCCAACCGGACCTGGATATACCACAAGCTTCAACCTTAGCCACCGTTGATGTAACCAGCTGTGCGAGTGTGCGGTCTGGTTCAAGGGAAGGGAAAGACCCCTTCGACATAGGTCTTTTCTACTTCGTTGGGGCTTTCATGAGCTTTCATGCAGACAGTCGCATGCATCGGCCTGGCATTGAGATCAGGTACGCGAAAGATCCTTCCAAGCTGGCACAGGTCACTGGCAAGGACTCCATGAATGGAATGATCAAGAAGCGTCCCTGTCTGCACTTGGAACGGATGGCTCTGGTTCTGGGCCCTATCTGGATGATACTAAGGGCTGAACTCCTTCTGCGCCTTCCAGCTTCACATTCGACATTCTGGTCTAGCCTACGTCTGCATCTGAGGATCTTAGAGCTGCGGTGCGTCGATGTGGACATCAATAGCGGGCGGCACTCGCCTCTAATGCTGTATCTTGGCAGCATTGGCAGACTCGAAGATTTGGCATTAGCTTGAGGCCTTGAGGTGTATAACTTCTGCCTTCGGGGCTCCCAGAAGCAAAACACGCCTCAATCCTCGTGCAGTGGCCCAGAGCCCCCTGCTGGCCCCCGGCTCGACCTGTGACATCCTGTGGCTCAACGCAGCTGCCTCGTTCCAGGTGGATGGTGTGCATCAGTGCCTGGGCTTGTCGATACATGTTGAATCCTGGGGAAGAGCTGCCGCACGAGCAGTCAGGCCAAAAGAATTTCTTGCGGGAGCGCATTCTGATCATGAATGCAGCTTTGCCCCGCTTGTGCCTGAGCCCAGGCTTTATCGCATGTACTGGCGATACTCTCCTTGTGAGCATTTCCTTGGTCACGACTTCGCTGATGTGCTTCATCACCTACAGCCATAACACACCCGCGTCTGGGCGGCATAGTTGCGCTGATTGGGAAAAACTTGGTGTCAGCCGCAGAGAACCACGAGCATTTGCTGCTTGTGGCGCAAATCTATAAATAAATAAATAAATAAATATAAATAAATATATATATATATATATAATACGCACACACAGGGCAAAAAAACATGTGTGTGTGTACGTGCATATGTACACACACACACACACATGTATCCGCATGCGTGCTAGCCCCTGCGGTGCCTAGGCTTGGGTTTGGCAACTGTTGTCGTACCTGCATTTAATTTCGCAAATATCTGCCGCGAGGCAGCGTGCGAATACGCAGGTTCATTCGAAAGACGGTACGGGACGAAAGAAGCTTAGATAAGTGAGCTGGTTCTGGAGATGCAAGGCAGGTTCCGGGCTTCAGTTTCGAGCCTTGCAATTTCGTATGAAGTAGGCGCATACTGCGAAGCTTGATGTGTCAATTCGCGCTATCGCCTCCCAGCATCAAGGGGCTTGATCGCGCACTTGCCTTAGCTGTCACAATGCTCGAGTGTCGCTGGCGCAAGGCGACGGGTCCCCCAAGGTTTCTCAGCTGCTCCGCTTCGTGCATGAAACCCAGTTTTAAATTGAGAGAGGCAAGAGACTTGGCAAGAACCTAAGCACGGAGACCCATTGACCTTCCGGGTACGAGAGTGAGCATCGAAAGGCAAGGCAGTGCGAGTGTGAGCACACACACACACATATTATATATAGAGAGAGAGAGAGAGTAAACCTGCATACGGATACAACGTGCAGGGTAATGAAAAACAAATGCAGCATCCCTGGCACAGGGATATCTCTCTTGCCAGGAGAAGTACAACTGGGTTCGACTCTGGCTGCTCCCGGTGCGCTTGGCGACTGGTGCCGGCATCGTCCTTCGCGGCTCGCCTCACTGTTGGCCCCACTCCCGAAACAACACATCGGGCGACGCCCCATAGAATTTAAGTTTCAAAACCCCCAAAACTACCACAATCCCACGGAAAGAAAAACCTTGCAGGGTCAAGGAGCTTGGTCAAGGAGCTTCTACACCTCAGGCGGTGGCAATGTGGAATTGCATCCAGGGATGGCCAGCAAGAGTGTTTGGGAGACAACTGAGCACATGCTGCAGCAGCTGAAGCGGCTACTTTGCAAGCGTGGCTGCATGACACCAGCGTACTCAACCTTGCAGATATTATTCACAAGTCGTGCGATTCCTGCAGCGCCGGTAGACTTCAGAAGATGGTGCCCCCAACGCGCGTTAAATAAGTGTTCTCCCACGTTCTCGCAGTTGTCATACTCAAACTTCTCGGTGCTTTGTTGACATTGAGCACCCCCTCCCCCCTCCCCCCCCCCCCCCCCCCCCCCCCCCCCCCCCCCCCCCCCCCCCCCCCTTCAAGGGATGATGGAGCTCACCCACTTCATATCCGTCATTGTGCCGGGCCCAGAGACGTGTCTGTAGCTTTTGGGACAGAGGCTTTGGCCTTGAAACCCCGACGAACAATACCAAGTGCCTGCTTACCAGATCTCTATATCGGCCAATCAGCCAATCTGGGAGCTCCAAATGCTTTGAGGTGTTTTCATCGCTGAGCCTTCTGACGCTCGTCGTCGATTTCATTTTTGGTGATATGTTCATGCCGCTTGAATGCACTAAGAGTGCGTGACAGCTCAAGACTCCCATGCACTGATGAGTTTCAACAAAGGCAGAGGCCTTCAAGAAGCCCAATCGTTGCAGACGGCACATCCCCACACCACGCCCACAACAGACATGTTGGGACTCAGGCTTTGGTCCTATCGCTTCGAATGTAGCTACAAGGCCCGCAGCGCCTTTGGTTGGCTGCACGGCACAGACGGCACATGTAATTACAGCGGTTCCAGCTACTTGAGATGCTTTCCACTCACATGTGCATGCTAGCACCAGGCGCAAAATATCAGCAACATGAACCACTCTTGTTCGTAGGCACAAGCCTCCTATTTTTAAATGTGAAGACGTATAAATACACAATCTTTCGATTCGGACACTTCGTGAGATGACTTTGTGAGAAGGCCACGCACCCCGCCCCACCGCCCCACCGCCGGAGCCCTTCCAACAATAATGCCCACCCACAAAGTTCTGACCAGCAACCTTCTACCGTGTTTTTAGTCGTGAGTTCGGGGTCACGGATTTCGATTCTTGTCTGATCAGAAGTAGCAATTTCAGCACCTGCTTGCTCTAGACGTGAACGAGGTGATCGACGAGCTTCCGGACCGCGTTTTTCTGTGCTCACGTCGCGGAGCAGCACACCTGGATGATATCATGGGTGCGCGGCTTGCGAGCCTCAGCCAATTTCATGGGTGTACATGGCAACCTGCCTGGCAGGTTGGAAGCAAAAACAAGTGTAACACCGGGAGCGGAGATTCACGAACTGCATGCCGAACATGCTCCAAGATCTGAGCACGCTGAAACCGTGCAGCGGGTTCTTCTAACCACGTGACGGTCTTGCTACTGCAGATTTGCCCTGATGAAATTGCAGTGATGTCGCCAAAGGCCTGAATGACCCTAAACCCGGCCTTGTTCGTTACCTGCCAACCGATGACGTCAGTCTTATCTGAACCAGGTGGGGAGCTTCAAACAAATCTGAGATCCCAAATGCTGAACGGTTTCCGGTGGCCAGTGAGCCAACCCAGCGGACCCTGCCCCCTTCCCAAGACAGTATGAACGGCTCCATAGCTGCTGAAGTTGACGGATGGAGTATGACCCTGACGACGAACGGCTGTAATGTTTGCCCTTTTGGCTTTATGAGATGCATCTTGTCACTTGTCTTGGTCTTAGGATGAGGCCTATTTCACCGAGTTGGCCTCATGTACTATTGAATTCATGCGTCCTCGCCTGTCTTGGCCGAGCTGTTGCAGGTACAAAGCCTCCGACCAGAAGTGCACGACCCCAATGCCACTAATAAGTCCTGGATTGCAAGAGTGTGAAAGTAGCCATGACCTTGGTGAAAGGATTTGGGCTTGGTGGCACCTGACAGAGATGTAGCCTGCTCTTGAGATGCCTCGCCAGATGTGTTAGAGCTTGCAACTAGAAGCCCAAAAAGCGATGAACACAACTGTTATCCTCTCACACTGAACCTTCGACCTATCACGAATTCCAAGGATATCGACGGAGGTGATCGGCAGTGCACTCCGGGCTGCAAGTAGCCCAACTTAGCCCAACTCCAGCCCAACTCCAGCTGAGCCCAACTTCACACCCCAGGATCTGAACCGAAGTTTCGCATGGTTTCTGTGGCTTTTGGGATCGCGTTCGAAGGGCAGCTGCAACTCCTACTTCAGGACATTGTCCCGGGACCAGCAGTCCTAGCTTGTCATGGCTGGTCTCTGAGGTATGCTGGAGAGTACGTAGAACAAAGCTTGTCGAAGCATTAGAGCCTTTGTGGAGGGTCAGGAGGCGGCTTCAGGTCCCTTCGCGGTTTGGACCTGCCCAGGCGTGGGATCCACGATATTCCTTGATTGCCGACATCAGGACCAGGGGAATTTTCCGCAATGCCGGTCTTGAAGTGGTTCACACATTTTGTAGAGAAGAAGAGGACTTGGGCCACAGTGTTCCAGAAACATGGGGCATGTGGCCCGAATCGCCAGCAATTCCTAAAAAGCAGATCCTGAGTAGGTAGGATCCCTGGTGCCTCCTTAAGGCTGAGGAACGATTGCAAATTCAGACTCTTGAGGCCCCTCCCCCCTCCCAATTCCCCGGAGCCTGGCGAAGAGTTGTAACCCTAAACCCTATGAGCCCTAAACCCTACAGACCCTAAACCCTTTCCAGGGGCATTCTCTGCGAGCTTCGTCGGCCACGATTAGAGGAGCTCCAGGAGCTCATAGAGGCCCCCCGAAAGTTTGCGAGAAAGCTTGGAGTTGGGGCCTGTTTTAGGGTTTAGGGTTTATAGGGTTTAGGGTTTTTAGGGTTTCCAGGGTTTAGGGCTTTTAGGGTTTAGGGTTTTTCAAGGGACCATGGGGATACGAGTGAAGGGGAGTCTCTGCCTTATGAGCGGGTATCGTGAGCAACTGCCATGCGCAGTGCTCCAGTAGGATCCAGTCGTAGAGGGGGCACCTGAAGGAGAGCAAGAAAACAGTTCTGCTACAGCTGGGAGGTTATCCCCAGACCGGCAGCCGAAGAATCCCAGACAAAAACCCCTTGAAGCGATCTCACTCTGCCCAGACCTTCCAAGAGTCGCAAGAAGACTTCGGCTTCTTCTCCGTCAAGTGCTTCTCGAGCGACCGGCCCAATTTCGCCGCCATGGAGCAGGAGACAACTTGGGGGCATCTTCTTGGCGCGTACACTTCCCTCGTCTCGTGCCCTGCAAACCGCTTTGGCCAGGCGAAGGGAAGTTTGCCAGTTTGCCCGCAGGACATCAAAATTCGGGATCTGGAGAAAATCATCGAGAAGCACCGGAGCCAGCATCCGTGGACCTGGAGAAGCTCGGCTGGGTTGAGCTTGCGATTGTATCGGCAACGTTGAAGAGCTCAGCAGTGCTTGCCACTGCCATGAAAGCCACACCTTCCTTCGCCTCCTGCCTTGAAGTAGAATCTCCCGAGGCATGATAAGCAAGGCAGATCTCAAGTTCCCCGAGCGCCGGGGCGCGGAGGTCTTAGAAGCGAAGAAGCTTGGTTTGGAGAGCGGTAGGTTCAGAATTCAAGGCGTGTTGCATCTGCAAGTTTAAGCAAGGGCTCAGGCCCTGACTAGGCATGTTTACATCTGGAGGCATGCAGCTACATCATTATTGGGTTTTTCTTTGTAGGGCTCTCTTGCTTTGGTCTGGCAGGGCAGCCTTGCGGTGGGAGTTTCATCTCGTTCAGGGTGCCAGGTTGCATGCTGCATGGTACACAGCACAAAGTACTAGTAGTGCGCGGCTTGTTTTGTTTGTATAGTGTGCGGTGGAATGCTTCGTTTGTGTTCGCTGGGTCGGGGTGTTTTGGCATGCTCAAATTGTTTATCGCGATCCGTTCTGGTCATGGGTATGCTCAGATGATTATGACAGGTGTAGTCAGGAACTCAACACATGCCTCAGGGCAGGACCAGGAAGCAAAAGGGTCAACCACATGGTATACTAAGTCGGGCTCTTTGTCGCAACTACTGACCCTAAGGCACACTCAGATGAGCCTGTTGAAGTTCTGAACAGGTTGTCACACTTCATTTGATGTGGTCGTATCTTCTTGTCTGAGCATTGCATTCAGCTTGAAGGGCGGAGGACATTCCCAAAAGATGTGTCAATTTAGAACAGCCCGGGCCGATGGAATGTAGAAACTGCGGAAACCCGTGTGTAATTGTCATTACGGGATGTTGTTCTGCGGACCTTGCATCTTTGCATTCATAGAGGTAGGAGGCTTGCAGACATTGTTGCTGCTGTTCTACGCCAGAGGACTTTTGTCGCAGCTGAGGAAAGCGCTGATGGCGCAATAGACGGCTGGGTGCCAGTGTCCGGCATGAGAGATAACAGTACCTTCAGGAAACATGCCGAAGGGCAAAAGACAACCCATGCATGAACGTCTTTGGAAATCAACATGCGCACTGAATCTGGAATGGTGCGGAAGACAGCATAGAGGCATAGAGCGTAAGCAAGAGCAGCAAGAGTATGACAGCAGGATGACGTAGACTAGAGTGTCCAGGTGCATGGTCTCACCACTCACAGGCACAGCCTGCCAAACAGCTCAATCGAGCTCGGACAGCAGGAGGTGACTGTGCTCATCTAACTTTGTGCAAGAATTCTTCACATAATGCAAGCACTTATCGAGCATTATTTCTTCTAAGTATTTTCTAATTCTAAAGTACGGCCAAAAGAACGGGTCCTTCTGCTACATGCTGTTCGGCCTCGAAGCCTGCAACATGCACGCGGCAGCACGGAGGACCTAGTTGCGTTTCCATGACAACAAAACAGCGTGCTTGCGCTCATGCATGTCGATGGTCAAGCTGTACTTGGGAGCCTAGCAGTGCTCCATACTGCAGAACTCCTCTTTTGCATGGCGTGCTCGGCAGCCATGAACCTGCACCGTGTGTTCTTGATGTATTTCTGCTTGCGCCACGTCCCTTCTCCCTTGGGCATCTATCAAGTACCATTGCTCAAGAGCTGAAAATTTGGATGGACTGATAGAGTCAGCCCCCCCAAGTCCAAGGCACGGGAGCTACTCCCCTGCTGGCCGCTGCAGAAAGGGGCTTCGTCGACCTCACGAGGAGTCGGTGACTCTTCTGGCTACCACTTCAATGAGCCTTAGGTCGAAGATTGCAGGTGTTTTGCGGCCGCTGGGCACTGTTTGAGGGCTTCGGGACTTGCAGCATGATTGCGGGTCTTCTCCGCGCGCGCGCGCGCGCGCGTGCAACATCGGCCCGTGCATCATGGTTGGCGTAACATCTGTGCCCACATCCGGATGCCGGTAGGACGCTCCTGGGACTCCGTGTCAACCGCTCCGTGATGGACTTCGAGGATCGCGCAGGGGGACATGTGTGTGGGTGTGTGTGTGTGTGTTGATATTGTACACATGTATTTTAGATAGATTTGCTGTATATGTAATATATACATATGTATTTCACGATCTTTTATCAGGAAAGATAGCCGAACTAGATTGAGATCTGTAAACGCTTGCGGGCGCCGCCTCGGCAGCCGGGCTGGCCCAACGCGCGGTGTCGGCAAGCAAGTCCTATGTCACATGGTGCAGCACCACTCACATCATGAGTTCAGGACTTCAGGCGGTAGGAGGGCTTGGAGGGGGGGGTTTGAAGGCGGCGGGGGGCCCGGGAAGAAGGGAGCTGAGCTTCGGCAGTGAGGCACTTCCGAGTCCGACCACTGGCCCTGCAGTCTAAAAACTAAACCCTTAACCCTTAACCCTAAACCCTTAACCCTTAACCCTTAACCCTGAGTCAGAAAATAGTCCGCAAGAGCAGCTCCCTGATGCAGGATCGGTCTTTGCTGCACTTTGCCGCGCCGTGGCCCAGTCTCTTCATACCTTTGTGCCCCAGCAGAAGAAGATGCCTTGTGGAGTGCAGCACAACATGTGTCGGGGGGGCTTGTGGGATCGTTTTGTTAGGGGGAGCTCGGTTGATCACGTCAATGAAGGGTCACCCACGAGCCATGTGCGGCCCAACTTACCTGGACCCAGAACCCCAGCCTAAAATGCCGTGCACCTTGACATCGGAGCCCCACAAGCTCCCCCCCCCTCCCCCCCTCGGGGTCTTCGAAGCGAGGCTCCAGGAGCTGCCAGCAGCGATGGTGCCTGGTGTGGCACTTCCCGGATGCGGGGTTTTAGGGCAAATTTTAGGGCAGTTGAGGGCGTTCAGTCAGCTTTGGTTGTTTTTTCTTTTGGTTGTTGTTTGGTGGGCTTCGGAGGTTCTGTACACGGAAGTGCTATTTCGTGCGGTTTGTAGTCCCCAAATATATTTGTAAAAGTGGGCACCTGTTCTGATGGCCCCGCTAAGCGGGATAGCGCGTGGATCGCAAGCCTTCGCTCCAGATAAGTTTGTCTACGGCAAGGGACAGACTCCCAGATCTGCATCTCCAGAAGTTTCCCGTGTGTGCAATTGGCAACTAACTAGGGGAAAATGAGGCAGATGCAATGGCTGCAAATCATTCATGCCAGAAGACGTCAACATGGCAGCACCAAAGCCAGCCAAACTCGTCATCAGCCCTACACGATCTAGCAATTTGATGAGTCAAGGTGGTCACTCAGCTCCGACAGCCGGATGTCGCTGGTGATGGCCCCCTTCACCGAGCTCTAGCAGCCAAGCGCTATGACGAGGCTCTTTTGTGGAGCTTCTTTGGTTTTGGATTCGAAGTCGCTCCACGGTTTGTGTTCCTATAGCTTTCGTAGTCTCCTACCGTTGGGGTAGTCAAGTCCCAAGCCGTAGTTCCCAAGATCTGCGCACTTCGAAAAATGTCGGAAGACAAATACGGCAGAAGGACAAAAACACGCCTGCACGTGCATGTTCGGCATTTCTGAGGCCTCTACAACACATGTACTCTCAAGTTTGGGGCAAATGAAGTTTGCTAGGTCTTGGGCTTTGGATCTCCAACCGACCCCCCAAGCTCCCAGCCAACATTTTGGCAGCCGGTACACGTCTGGAAGTCATGGAATCGAGTTCGTTTCGGTATCTGCAAAAAGCCCTGGGTCCGCTGACAAGAACTTGCGGTTTTGGAAGTCATGTTGTCAGTCCGTGAGGCAGCACTTGTTGCAGCTTTGTTGCGTGTTCTGCCTCTTGGTAGCTTCGCTGAGCTGCTCGCCATCGATTGTCTGGAAGCTTTGTTTATCGTGCTTCTGAACCTGAACAGACTGGAAGACTTGTAGTGCGAGGCTGCCACCTCCTGATCTATGCTTGCGAAGTTATTCAGTATAGTTTTTTGCCTTGCTGGCCTGCTAGCCCTTTCTTGTGCGTGCTGCTTTACTACCAGTAGTTTCATCAGGGTTGCACAGTACCCTCAATTCTGAAACTGCTTCGGCAGAGATGCGAGGTGTATGAGGCGCTGCAAATCCTGACGCAGAGAGGTCTGGCGTCTGCAGGCCCTCGGTTGGGGCTTCTTGAGCTCCGAGCCACAGATGCTAAGCCCCACCTAAGCCCCACCCTCCAGGCATCTCATCCATGCCGCGAGTGCAGGTTTAGGATTCCCCGACCTCTTCGTCTTAGTTGGGACATCGGTTCCCCGAAGCCTTTGGGGCCCATTGGGTTCGCTCTGAGACCCGCTGCTGCTCCGAGACATCGTCTCCCTCCGGTGCCTCGGCACAAAGTTACAAAGGCTTGGCTGAGTTGCGTTCAGTTCTTTGATCTGCTACCGAGGTGCAGCAACATACATCATGTTTCTGTAGCACAGTGCATATACATGTATTTGTTATGCAACCCCCCTCTCGGTACCTAGGTTTTGCTGATGTGCGTGTTGTGTGTGTGTAAACTTGCGTAGAACAACATTGTCATTGTTTTCGTTAACAAACAACGTACTTAGCTGGTTGTTTTTGTTTCGTGAGACTCCCTTAATCAAGGCAATTTCAGTAGTTTAGATGGTTTTCGGCAGGGGGTGGGTGCATGAACTAGAGTTGGAGACCATGAACTCATTTGATTTAAGGAAGGGTGAAGTACATGAATACAATTAGTAGTAGACCCTTAACAACATGAAATCGAAACATTGAACTGGCTAAGTTTCGATACTTTAACCTGACTAAATGAATGATGTTTTCAAAGCCAATTTCATAGATAATGTTTTCACACTATAATAAAAGTACACTTGCCAGGAAACCTGACTTAATTGCGTCATTTATGCGTTGATCTGTCTTGTTTTCATCGCTTTCGCTAACAAATAAAGTACTCAATTTCACGAAGGAATCTTTTGTTGAATCTACTTAACTAAAGCAATTTCAACAGTTAAGTTTGTTTTTCTGAAGGGTTACCCTTAACTGATGAATTGAGCGAACTTAATGAACTACAAAGTTGCGTAAATTCGATTGCGGCTTCTGTTTGTTGAAGTTGACTCTCTTCAAATAATTTTAATGGCATAATTTGTTGACTAAGGGTAAAGCAAATACATTAAATTACCGGAACTACATAAGTTTAATGGGCTAAAAATTAGAATCGTAGTCCTTGAAAATGCATTGAATGGCTTGGCTGTAAATGGAATAATTCCATAGGCCTTCCCGCGCGCTAAGAACTCAATTAGAAGAGACAGGCTTTGCTTGTGAGCAAGGCTGCTGTTGTACAGCATGTACATTGACGAGACGGGAGAGCAAGCATACTTTCAAGTATGCAGCGCGCATCAGTGGAAGCCTGAAGTGCTTGAGTTGTCCCTTCGAAAAAAAATCGCCGAAGAACCAACTCTGGAGGCCTCTTACGGACAGGGCCTCACGAAAAGATTGTTCCTTTAGGCACAGTGCAGCACTTTCAGCACCCAGGCCTTCAAGGCTTCAAGGTGCTCTGCTGTCCCAATGCTGTCTTGTCCAAAAACAAGCATCCAAAAACCAATTCTGGGAGGCCTGAGTTTCCGAATAGCTTATCCCCTCGAGTCAAACGACTTGGGATGCTTAAGTTCATAGTGGTACAGGGCCTTAGACTCACATTGCCAATGCTTTGCTCCGAAGAAGCTACGCATGACATGAACTAGAGATAAGTTATTCTGAATGGATAATGAGTTCAGAGCAGAGATATCCACTGACCAATTTACACATGCTAATTTTGGCCCTTGACGGTTTTTCTTAGTCAGTCTGACTCCCCCGAGCTACTCATCCTGGCTGTTAGCTTCACGGCTCCGCACCTCTGAGCCGTGGATTTCATGGAGGTGATGCTCTTGACATGCGCAAGCCGAGGAATGAGGCTGGCGAGCAGTTGATCCACTTGAACAGCGACAAGAAGCTCCTTGAGGACAGCACACGTGTGCAACCGTGTGTACACCGAAAAAATATGTTCTGCTTCATTGTGATTCGGCTTTGGACCTTTGGACTTTTGAGGTCTTTTTGGTGTGTTTTGGAGCGTCAACCCAGGGCTGTGGATTTCATCTGTTGCTTTTGCTGTGGCTGCATTACGGTCATGGTTCTGGTGGCGGCGGTGGGCGCGGTATGGCCGTGGAGTGGTTGCCTTCTGTGCTCATGTTTCGGTGGCTGCCGCTGCTTTGCTCGTGGCGGCGGCTGCTGCTCTTGTTTCGATTCGTGTTGTGGTGTTCATCCTTTTCCTGCAGTGTTTCGTTTGGAGGCTACGTGTGCTGACAGCCATGACGGCATGAATGGAGTGTTTTTAGAGTGGTCGGCGCTCTATAGCTACTATAGCTTGTGCAGGGACTCATGCAGTCACGACATGCGGCCTGGTCTCCCAGTTTTCACTTGTTCTCTCGTTACCTTTTCAAAGCTGAAGGAGCTTCTCGCGCTGGGAGCGGACAGCGGCTCTCGAACTCTCGCCGGCGCAGCGCCATTGCACACGGCCCTCCCCCGGGGGTGCACAGTGGAGCTGAGACGTAAATTATTAAACTTGCAGATCCGTAATGGTCTAGGGGACGCTCTCGAAGTCATGCCATCTGAGGAGAAAGTCGGGAAACAAGACATCTGCGCTAACTTCCGCCTTGCTGTTTCGCGAGTTTGCCTTCCTTTGTCCTGACTCTCGCAGACTCTCGCCCTCGCCCTTTGTTCCCGACTGGTTGGTTCCCAGCTTGTTCTTCACCCATGGTCTCTATACGAAATGCCTTCCAGGCCCTTTCAAAAGACTCTTTTAGAGAACCTTCTGATCCCTTCTTGAACTCCCAGACTGCCTGGGCAGGTTGCAGCGCTGCCGGGCACAGCTGTGTCGGGTGTACTCTCACTGTTGCAGCAGAAGTCTCAGGCACAGAGTGCCTCTTCGCCCCAGAATAGATTCTAGCGGCCTAGAGGATTCTACTTGAGGGGCTCGAAGGCTCTCGAGCACGGGGGCACTCTTAATTTTGGGCTGTATATAGTTCTAGAAGTTTACGACCGACGATTCACGGATTCCGGAGAGGTTGGATGGAAGAGTGAGCCCAGGTTTTGCCCGTTGCGTGGTTGTGTGACACGGGGTCATAGAGTCGTCGGACCCATTTCACACATGCAAAGGGATGAACACCTGTGCGACTGAGTGGAACTGTCCCGACACTAGAAACCCACAGGTAACTCGATCTACGGACACTGAAGATGTGCAGGTCGCGGTGTCTGCAACGGACATGCGCGGACGAACTCCTGTGCACTACGCAGCTGCAAGTGGAGATTGGGACAACGTGCAGTGGCTGGTGGCGCAAGGCACCGTTGCCTAAATTTGCAATGCCTCAGGATTCGAAGCCTCCATCTATAACGCCCCATTCAGCAAGCCGGAATCCGAAACTGCAAGACAAGATCGGCGCGCCCTATATCGTGAAACCAAGGGCGTAGATGCAAAATGTCCTTTTGTCGGGCGAGTCAGGAGCTGACATCCAAGCCAAGGATTCCGATGGCCACCGGGCCGAAGCCATTAACTGCGCTTTGTTTTTTTTTTTTTTTTTGGGGGGGGGGGGGGGGGGGGGGGAGGATTGAAGCAGCCTGGAGCCCTTCCACAGGGTTTGGGATGTTCCGGGCTTGAGCGGAATTTCTGCAAAGCAAAGTATGACTTTTTTCATTATCGCTACAGTTACTATTCTTAGAAATCAGAAGAGGACCCTACATGATAGCTCAAAGAAAGTGATTGCCGGGTGGGGTTTGCTGTTACAGATGGGCTTTCGGCCTTTAAGATGTGAGGGCTTCGGATTGCAGAGTTTGACCAGGGCTGATGGATCGGTATGTTCTTACACAACAAGCCTTTCGCCGTTCAGGACAAAGTGCAACACATTGAGCTTTGGACAGGATCCAGGCACCTTTGCGCGTCCAGCCTAAGGAAACCCCCCTTGTCGCCCAAAGAAGAGCCCAAAAGCCGATGTGAGAATCTGGGCGTCGAGGTCTGTCTCCACTGGAGGTGGGCCTTGCAAACGGACACTACCACCTGGCCACCGGGATGCAAGAGCTACGAGAGCTGAGGGGGGAGGGGGTGGGGGGGGGTTGTGCGTTCAGGAGTTGTGTGTGTGTGTGTGTGTCTTTCATGGGCTGCAGGAGTCTAGGGCCGTCTCTGTAGGGGCCCAGAGTAGCAGAGCGCCGACAAAGAAGGTAGAGAAGCGGTGCAAGAGCACGACTCACTTGCTGGATTTCTGTCAAACACGCTGATGTGAGCTGTTTGCAAAAAAAATGTTTTCCCGCCGGCCCTGAGGAACCTTACACTCGGGACTTTGTCTGTGTTGAGTTACCGGAGAAAGCCCCGTCAGAAGATTGTCCCCCCCTTACCTTGCGATCTCTCCCTTGTCCCCTTACCTCGCGATCTCTCCACTCTCTCCACTCTCTCGGTTTAGGGTGCCTTGGTGAGCAGCAAGCCTGGGTTGGGAGTTGTGCTAGGCCCGGAGAAAGCACCCCACTCAGTTTCCCAAGATCTGTGTCATAGATCTGAGTTTTTTCTACAATCTATGCAAGGTGCCGCTCTTTGAGACGTTGGGTAGCTCCGTGCTCTTTGCAGCGGCAGGCTTTGGCAATGCTGCTGGGCTTGATTTTGCACCAACTCCCCCCCCCCTTTTTTTCTGTCAGGGCAACGGAGGTGGTGGTGGTGCTGGAGGTGTAACAGTGTAGTGATTGCAGCGCGGGTGTTGACGTGTTAGAGTTTGTGTTCCTTGAGTCGCGGAACACGCGATGTTGCGACTGCGAGAGCATTTTAAACGTGTTTCAATAGCTGCGGCTCCGGGTCTTCTGGGGGTCAGAAGATGCCAGAGCACTGGTGGCACTACGTGCCACTACGCTTTGAGGTCTCCTTGGTGCAGCAGCTGGTGCTCCAGAACGGCATGTCACCAAATGCCATTGATGCGCCTTGGAAGTTGTCATATGCGTTGATGGACTTCGGAAGTCTGCAGGTGATTTTGGCTTCTGCCGATGCTTCGACCATGTTCCGAGGACCAGACTGGCCGCACGCCAATCTTCGAAGCCGTGGAGAAGGCGAGAATTGATGTAGCCGAGTTCCCTGGCAGCGATCTGAGGTGAGAATGGAGGTTTGGAGGAAGGGAGACTTTCTTTCCACTCCCCGACAGGACGCCGGAAGCTAGGGCTACAAGAACAGCTCCGCAGCATATGGGGCCTTGATTAGCAGCAGCAAAGGCTTGGAATGACAGCAGGCTTTGCAAAACCTTCGGTGCACTTTTTTCCGCCTTTGTTCCGGCACGAAATTTGATTTTTTTCCAGCTTGATCTTTCCATTTCTCTCTCGCTCTCTCTGCCTCTGTTTTTTTGGTTCTCTCTCCATATCTATCTCTCTCCCTCGCTCTCCTTCTCTCGTCTTCTCTCTGCCACTCTCTCTATGTCTCTTGTTCTCTCTTTTCTTTGTCTCTCGTTCCGCAGCACACTTGGGGCATTCACCACCAGGACACTCAGAGAGGCTTAAAACGAATCGCACAGGAAATAAGGCTGCGGCAAGCACAACCCCAAGAAGCAGGCCGAATTAGACGGTTTATGCTCTTAACCGAACACTAGCGAGGTCCTGACATAATCACAAGATCAATCGCAACAAGGTTCATTCCAAGGGGTACGCGGCGGGAGGCACAAGTCCTCATCAGTTCCTAGAATTTGCAACGTCTTTCGCTGAGGTTTCTGTCCTCGCACCTGAGCTGCATCATGTTCGTGCGCCAGCTCGACAACATCAGGCTTTGATGAAGAAGGACATCAGAGGATAGCGGAGCCATGTAGATTCAATGTAGATCATGTCTTTCAGCTGAACTCGCAAACCTGCCGCAGTCAAAGCTTCTGCTTAAGGCAAAATGCCTCGTTGGTCCACGTCGACAAGGCACCTCTCTGGTTCCAGACCCTGACTTGTGACATAATTGCGATCATGCTTGGTATCAGCATCTTCTGTCGTCTGTTGCCTTCTTGAGTTTTGAGAACGCGTCGGGTTCTTTGTGACAATACCCGCTTCCTTCATCATTTGTAGTCATCCAGTCTAGAGCCTGCTGTAGCTTGTGCATGCTGCTCTTCCAGAAAGGGGGCTTAGCGTCTACCTGGTCGGCCGAAGCTTCATTCACCACTGGTCTTCTGCAAGAGACTTCTGAGAAACAGCAGTGGACACTCAGCGCAGCGCTTAAGCGAAACCGCGCCGAGAGTGGCCCGTTCAAGCGACGTCTGAAACTTGCATAGGCGGGCATCAGCGTCCTAGCAGCGGCGGTGCTTGCGCAACGGCCTCGCATGGTGGAGCCACTTGGCAGATAACAACAGATCGAAGTCTTGCAAGCGCATCTTTTGAAACTTGAGCTTCCATTGGTCATTGGAACCCTGATAAGCGTCCCACACAAACTGCCGCCGAATGCAGTAAAGTGCAAATGCATGACACGTCGCATTGCCCGCGCGCTACATTCCAGTTTGGCTGGCATGTGCTCCCGGTCCAGCGATTTTAGCAATGCACTCAGCACAAGGCGATGCTGTTGAGAGTTAATTTGCTTTTGGCCGCAAGGTTGATTAGTTAAGCTCCGTTCAGAGAATGTTGGCTTGTTCTCAGGTTGTGGTCTGGGTCCCGCAAATATTCGATCCCAACATCCGTACGGGGTTTCTAGGACTAGGTTCTATACAGGGTACTACAATGACTACAATGCAGTATAGAGGGTCAGCAGATCCTCACCCGTCGCCTCACACGTTCAAACTAGTGCCCTGCCAAGAGAACTGTGCTTAGACTTCATCTTCGTTCGCTAAGATGATATGTATATATACAATCATGTCTGATCCTAAGATAATGTACATATTATATTCTGGCACTCACACATATATGTATATATAGGTACCATAATATATATTTATAGACATATACATATCTGCACCAGCTATACACACATATGTCGACTAAACCCCAACCTTGAAATTCCTGAAAACCTAAAGCTTAAAAACGCGCACCTGTAATGGGGCTGCGAGGTTCTTGGTGTCCAAGCACGTGCCGGTGGAGCAGAGGCTCCACAAACTTTGCGTGTGAGAGACTCGTTTATCTAGGGGAGATGCTTCTTATCAGGCCTTTCTGACGAGACTCGGAATCGATCAGCTCCGAAAGCGCAAGAAGCCCTGGCCCATTGCAGGCTTGCGAACCTTTCCACTGCGCTTCTCCTGGCCGCTGCGAGCCTGCCCCAGAGCATCGAGGTCTTGGTCAGGCGAGCTTTGTATCCAGCTGGAACTAAACATGTTGAGGTCATGGCAGCCGACATCACTCAGTTTGAAACACCAGCCTTTACGGAGACGTCTTGGCAGAGTCATCAGAAGAGCAATGTGGTCCTGAAGAGCCAAACATCTCCCGCAACCCGCCACGAAAGTAAAAAAAGCTCCCATAACCAGCACACACAATGTAGGAAGCACTTATCGTGCCGCACCTATGACGGGTTTCTGAATTTCTTGAACCAACCGTTTCTGCAAAACGTGTTGCCATCTCCCCCTGCGTGGCCATTCCAAGACAAGCTAATCCCCTATAACAATACATACTGGAGCTACTGGAGCCCATTTCAGAGCACTCGAGGAAGTGCTTGTAGTGATGGTGCACGAGTGCTATCCGTGCTCCTTGGTTCCCGACACTCACACTTCCACAGGGCGGGCGCTGATCCTCTGGCGGTGGACTTCAAAAACCGATCTGCTCTGCACTTCGCAAGTACCGCAGAGGCAGTCGAGGCGCAACGGGCGTCTGATTTGCAAGCCCTCAGAACGCATTTTGTTATTTTGTTTCTTCGTCTCGTTCTGCTTCGTTTTGTTTCCTTGTTTCCTTGTTTGTTTGTTTGTTTGTTTGTTTGTTTGTATGTTCGTGTGTTTGTGTGTTTGCTTGCTTGTGTGTGTGTGTGTGTTTCTTTTTGCGTCGTTGCAATCATGTGCGTGACAGTGCTAAATGCATGCCCGGATCTTTCTGTAGGCCTTCAGCTGCAAGTCGTCGTTGTCTTCGCAACGTGTTAAACCGGGGTTGCCGGGCTGAAGTTGAAACATCCGGGCCGACGACGGGTTGAGCAATTCAATCAGTGCAAGCTGCAAGTGCAAGTAACGAATTATCTGTGGGCTTGAAGAAGTACTATAGCATTCGCAGAAATCTTGGACCCTTTGTCCAGGTGCTTCTGCGTTTCAACGTGTCCTCCACAAGGATGCATCGGCGGTCTGCTGGGTACCGGCAGTTGGAGACTGTATGTCATGTTCGACACTACTACCTCCGCTATACATGTTTGGAGCTGGGGGCCAACGCCCGAGCGTGTGAAAAAAGGTTCTACTAGCAGTGCCTGGCACGCCGGCGGTTTGTGCGCATCGGAAGGAGCGCAGCATTTGGCTTGACTCCTCTGCACACTGCAGCTGCAGAGGCAGGGGAAGACGCGTTTTTTGGAGCTGAAGCCGCGTCTGCACTTGCAAGCGTCTGTAGCAGCTGTCAAGTCAAAATTGTATACGGCTAAACGCCCAAGACCAGACCTATGCAGCTCCAGCCAGGGCAAAGATGCAGTGCTCGACGCACTTCTCGCTGCCCGGGTCAGTGAGGCTGGTGCCGCCAAGTCGCATGAACCTAATCCGGAGGCCAACGTGTTAGCTGTCGTGCCCCCAGAGAAGGACACTAATGTCCCGATCCTTGGTGCAAGCTAAGAGCATGTAAGTGCCTCTGAAGCTCGCTGGTTCCCCAACCATCGCAGGTGGACGAGGTCGACTTCACTGGCAACGCAGGTGGGGTCCTCAGTCACAATGTTCGCAGCTGGGCTTCCGATGATCTGAGGGTGAGGTATTTGGAGCACTCGTTGGGCGTCATAAGGAGTCCGGTGCAAGGCCGAAACGCAGAGACAGCGTCGCAAGATTCTTACGCAGACACGTGTGAATGCACGGTGCCATCGCGTGCCGTCCCTCCCAGACAATTGCTTCTTTGCAGAATAATTGATGTTGCGCGAGTGTTCGCCTGATTGCGGGAGAAGAAAAAGCAAATCCCTACAGAAACCGTATGATGCAGGTTTGCCATGCCCCTTGGGATAAAGCTTGACCGGACAAGGGCTCTCGGTAATGAACGGCATGAAGGATCAAATTGTGGTTTGTGTTTGTAGTTAAATATGCTCTACGAACGGGAAGAACAGCCCATCAAATTCAAAGTGGAAGCAAATTCGGATGTCCTTTTACGCGTTCCTGCGATGCAAAGCAGCACACAGCCCCGACAAATTTTGTGCAACGTCAATGTCAATTCCTTAGTTCGTTGTTTCTTGTACTTTGCCCTTTCTGGTCTATAGGTTGTTCCGGGGCAACCAAACAAGCCGTTGGTACCTTCTACGCTTCGCGTGCCTCGGTTCTTGTAAGGACTTCACTTTGCCGCCTCCAGCGGTGCAGCCTCGGCTGTTGCGGCACTGCCTCACTCCCAGCAAGTGGAGCTCGCGTTGAGATGTTGCTGGTAAGTACAGATATCAAAATAGGTATCAACTTTCAGAGACCAACCAAAAAAGAGCCCCATGACTGCAGTTTCGAACATGTAATGTAAACATATGTAAGCCCATGAATTTTCGAGGGATGTTGGGCCTTCGGTCTTGTGTCTGGCTTTCGCTCCATGAGATAGAGCAAAGAGCTCTAAACCCCACGTAATGTCCGCGCTGATGTTTCCAGCAGTTTCGCTCGCTGAGGTTGAAGTGGTGTGCGCCTGTCAGCCAGGCGATCGGATTGGAATTCTTGATGTTAGAACATGTGAGGCGCTTGCCCCTGAACCTTGCAAGAGCAATGGTTGACAGGACGGCTCACCGCTGACAGTGCGATGCAATCATGTCATGCTACATCTGCTTACACAAGCCATGCTGAGCATGATGAGCAGATAAGCATGCTGGTGTTGATGATGACGATTGATGATTCTGATGACGGCTCTCGCATGGGTGTGTGTTCCTGCATCTGTCGGCAATGCCCCCCCCCCCCCCCCAGACCAACGATGCCGGCTTCGTGCCACTTCAACTGGCAAAAACTGCTCGGGCCTTGGTTTAGCACCTCCATGCTTTCTGCTAGCATTTGCAATGGCCTGACGCGCAATTGTTTGCA